AAGTCACTCCCAACACTACGAGGAAACATGAGTCCAGGTTCTGATTTTCCATTTTGCTCTACAGTATCCCCTTTGAGCATGCCAGATGCTTTGCTTCTTCAGATGAAAATTATTTCTCCTAGTTTTTTTTGAAGTTTGGCTCACTGATTCATTTGTATGCCATCACTGTAAAGTGTTTTGAGGATAAACAAAGCAGAGCTGCAGGCTGGGCCAGTGAGGAGGGTAAACCAAGCAGGTGTGGGCTCTGCAGATCCATACAAACCAGGGCAGCCCTGGGGAAGGAGGTCAGCAGCCTTGTGCATGCCTTTGGAGACAGGCAGGATGATAGCAGGAAGAGGAACATCAGAAAGTAAACAACCATTTCACAGCGTGAGACACTCCATGAGGAAAGAAATGCAAAAAATCACCTGTCTGCAGGTACATGAGGATTTTAATTTCTTAAATATGTATGTATTTACTGTTGGGAGAGCATGAGGAACAGTTGATTTGCACCTTGATCAAAATAATACATTTCCTAATGGGAAACAGAGCCTGTCGTGAAAGAACTGGAAGGTTCTCCCAGGGAACTGTTATTTAAACCACATTTTGTGGAAGAAATGTTTTGTAAAAAGAAATGTTTTGTATTTGCTGTAGCTTACATGGCCTGGGCACTTTTGAGTGGATTGTATCAGTAAAGCTATAAAACTCAGACAGTAATTAGTAAATGAAACTAGAAATGCCTCCACTAAAGGCAGTTGCGTGTAATAAGAGTGAAAACAGTGTGAGATCACAACTAGATCCACAGGGGATCACCCTATGGAATCAGTAGCAAGGTACTACTAATGATGCCCAGTTAAAGATATTACCCATAGAGGCAGTGGGAAGGGCCAGGAAGAAGAAACAAGAGGAAAATGTTACCTACTGTAAATAAAAGTAATACCAAAATAAGTCTGGTTTGGGTGGATTTTTTCAGGAATGTCCAAGCCTAGCCTGTTTGTGTGTGATAAGGTGTACCTGTGAGGGTACAGAAAAGTAAAATAGGGTGGGTGTGTGGACACATCATTGCCTGGTCACCCACGGTGGATCTGGAGCTCTCTCAGTGGCCTGGGCTGCAGTAAAACATGCACTTACTCTCTGATTTCAGGTATAGTTTCCACGAAGTCTTTCTTTACATGTGGATTTCTCCCTTACATTCTGGCAAGCTAAGCAGAGTCATAACTCTGTGACTAATGCTAATGTTGCAGTAGTAAAATACTGGGCAAAAAAAATGGGAAAACCAGACCCACTTGCCTGTAAGAATGATTTAATTGAAGTTTTCACTGTTCCAAAATAGATAAGTTTCACATCATAAAGCATTTTTCTGTCATGAAAATTATTTTTTTAAGGGGAGGGAGAATTTTCTTTGCAGCAAACTGACTTTATTGGTAAGCAATTAAATATTTCTTTGGGTTGCTGCTCAAAATTAATTACTCATTAATGTGGAAAAACCAGCTATAGTCTTGCTGTGGATTCAGAGGTTTCCAACTGGGTGCATCTAATTCCAATAAGGAAAAAAACAAACCTAGAAAGAGTATTATAATTACTGTCATATGAAAACCTGCTTTAGGCCAGATGTAGAAGCTGATACCACAGAAGTGTTAACACTGAGCAGTCTGCTGCAGGGAACTGACAGATGAATCCTACATATGTTTGCAGAATGGACATATTACACAGTCCTTCTAGAATCCCTTGTGTTTGTTTTCTTTTTTTGTTTCTAAAGCTTCTACAGAAAATGCAATTCTACAATAATCTAAGGTTTTGGACAGTGTCACACACACCTCTGTATAAAATTTGGATCCTTAGGTTGCATACCTAACCAACACCGTCAACTCTGTACCCTCACAAGTAGTTCCACTGAAAGCAATGAGATTAGTGGTGTGATAAATGCTAAAAAAACGGTTCCTAACTCCAGGTTTTTCCCTTCAGTGTACAGTCAGAGCTCGTGGCTGTGATGACCCAGGGGCTTGCAGTGAGGACAGAGGATGGACAGAAGTGTGAGGTGTTAGGAATCACATCTTTGGAATTTCAGATCTATGGAGTAAGGAGTCAATCCTCAGAATCTGAAAATAACTGCTCTATGCAGATTTCCTGCTGTAACCAGTAGCAGTTTGCATGCAAAAGATTTCAGAAGCTGATATCCTTGCCTTTTCCTTCCCAAATTTTATTAATTCAACCAAAGTTTATGTGGCTTCAGCCTTAATAAAAACCAATAGAATTCTGGGATGATTTAGGCTGGAACAACCTCTGAGTGACTTGTCTAATCCAAATCCTTTCATTCCAATCCAAATTGATTTCATTATCCCTAAGTAATTTATTTAAATAAATGGAGTCAGAGCAGATCACAGAGTTTAATTATTGGAAACACTGGTTGGCACTAAGTTTGGAATTAAAATTGTTCACTTTGAAGTCTTTAAGTGCACAGCATGACAATACCAGTTGTCAAGGAACATTTTTTCCTTGGTTAAAAAGGACAAGCTGAGCACAAAATGGAAGAATGAAACCTTGAATTATCCACATAAGATAATTCATCCTGTCAGCTGGAGAGTTACACACTTTAATGCTCTTACCAAGTCATTTACTTTCCCATGCAGGGAATAGGTGCAAGAACTGGGGACAAATTTCCTGAAATGTACAAGTCTCAGATGACACCAGAGTTTGACTGATGACATGATTATGCATGTTAAACAGGATTGGCCTCTCAATGCTTTAGGAAAACTAGCTGTACTTTAGGCTGGGGTAGATGCCTGTCATATCCTTGCAGAAGGCAACCAGACTGCTCAGACATCATTTGCCCCTGGCCCTGGTCACCTTCTTGTCCTTCAGGTGTATGGAAGTAGCAAGGGTTGGTAACGGTTTCACATCTCCTTTGCCACAACCGACATGATGTTCTAAAACTGAGTCATATCTCCCCTCAACTTTCTCCTCCCCTAACTGAAGACTAATTTTAGACTCCCCTAGTAAGAAAACTCCTCCACCTCCTTGTTCAGTTTAGTTGCCTTTCTCTGGCTGTTCTTTAAACTCCTTACATGCCTCCAGAGGTGCCCACTTGTATCCAGCAATGCAGTGAGGGAGATCCTCCTGGAGGGCCACAGTGTCATTCCAACAGCCAAAGCAAAGGCTTTGGTTCACTCACCTGCACTTCAAAGAGATGGAGGAAAAAGGAAAATAAGGAGTTTGGCTTGGCAATCTGGAAGCAGTCACTGGCCCAGTAAAACAGAGAGCAAACAGTGCTGCATGTGCACTATATCTACAATGACTGTGCACTAAAGTCAGTCAAATGGGCTGAAGTCCACCTTGCTTTGAGATTTAAGGAGAAATGCAACACTGAAAATTACTTTAGAAAAATACCTGGGAAGGAAACTGTTCAACTATTCATCCTGTACATTACTATTTTCTTACATCATTATATTATAAAAAAACCAACCCTCCATCCACAGAGGAACCTGCTTTGTGGGCACTGCTGGTATTTCTATTGGTAGATTATTTTATTTTGGAAAGGGATTTGCTCTATCCAGACACTTTTAAGAAGTATCCAGATTTTCCCAAGCAGACTGCAGTTTTAAGAGCAGGTTTGGGATACTCCTGGGAGCAAAGATCTTGTTGTAAATCTAATATATAACATGCTGTACATCAGATTCTCTGCTATAGATACATGTGTTTTTCCGGTTTTCCTCTTGGCAGTTCTAAGTTTGCCACTTTCACTTTTGCCCCATAACACCTTGTGCTGTAGAGCTTTCCAGCAGATCATCCACTGCATTAAAAAAAGTTCAGCTTAATGTAACTTCTTTACTTCTTGCATTGAGCAAGGGATTATTAATACAAGTAGCAGGAGTCTGTTTATTTTACTGCCCTCATCTCTAGAGCAGCAGACAGACATCGTAGAAGAAAAATACTGAGGCCTAAATCTCTCTCCAGACAAATCTGTTACACAGAGCTGTTCAGGACAACATTTGACATTTGGCCAAAAAAATTACACGCAGACATATATCAAACATACCAACAGTTTAATTTTTTTTTTTTAATTATACAAAAGTCCCACCCCAATTATTCAAACATTAACAACTGATCCACTTAATACAAAACCAATTCCTCTGGGCAAAACAGTAGAGGAATGTACCTTTCATTTTTAATTAAACATTATCATTGAAAATTACATTATGTATGGATTTGACTATTATTCTAAATGGTATTTTGCCCTAGTTTCCTAGACAATCTCTCCACACCTTTGATATGCCACAGTGCACTTCCAATACACACATACAGACCTGTCTACAGGAGCCCTTTAGAAACAAATAGCACTGCTGAGTTTCAGCTGTCCTGAGTTAAACAACATTGAAATCATGTATAAATCATCAAGGACATTCAAAATCGTAAAGCCTGTGTGACAAGAGGTGATTCCAAAGCAGTTTGTTCCTAACCTGAAAGAGCCTAAAAGGCAGTTGACCCAGAAAACAATGTGGAGGCACCAGCCCTTTCCACAAATTCCTGCCATGCCCTCCTGGACCAGCACCTACTGTTCCCTTTCCCGGCTGAACCTTAGGCAGCCAAGTTCATCAGCAACTCACCTCTCCCACTCAGCCTTCAGGCTCCACAACTCTTCCATAAAATCCAGAACCAGATTTCCTTTTCAGCAAACGGAGATACAAACAACACGTCTCTGACTACTGTCATGAACAAGAAAATGCTGCAGAATGCACATGGCTCAGAGACCACACTCCAAGGTCAGGGAGCCATTTAACTTCGGAAAAGGAACAAATTCAGAGTCATTATAATAATTTGCTGCTTCCACTGGATAACCTCTTTTAGGAACATGGGCTTTACAGTGCTCAGGAGGCAGAGCTGTGAGCCTGGTAGCTCTAACATGATCGTCAACTGAGGCAGGGACTAATCCCCTTTAGAGTGACTCACTGTACCCTCTCTAACTATCACTCTCCTCAGAAATGAAAATAGTGCTGCCTGCTCTCAGCTCTTCTCCAGCCCATTTATTGTTTGGAATGTATTGGTTGGTTCCTGCTTGTTTCTTCTGTGGAAGAAGGTGGTTGGGCAGGTTCACAAACCACCCTTGGGTCCTCACTGTCAACTTCAATAGCTAAAATGAAGAATAGAAAAATGTCAGAGTTAAACACAAACAAACAAGCCAAACCCCCAAACCCTGTATTTCAGTTCTCATTATACCTGGCATCAATCACATTTCCACACTTAAAGTTGCACGGGAATAGAAGTACGAGGTGGATGCTTTTGCCCACTTGACCACAGTGAACCTATGCCATGCTTTTAACACTGTCAATTCTCGAAGACCTTGACAAACTGATTAATAAACCCTTCTTCAAATCCAACTAAGGGTTTTAATTTAATGAAGTATTTACTTGCCAATTTGCATCAAAAGCTCCCTCATTTCCTCACAAGCAACTTGGGTTTTGTTTTTCTGTGGCTTGCTCATCTAGAAAGCCAACAATCTGCAGTCAGGCTCTCTCCTCAGATACTACACTGGCTGTTTTACTGGACATACACTTTGTGTTTATTTTGTCAAACCTCTGTAACATGACAAGTCAATACTGCATGAAATTGTGTAACGACACATCACCATTGTAAACTTCAGCAACTTTAGCCATTCAGCTGTGCTCAACTATTGACTCATCTTTCTGGCAGCAGCTTCTAAGCCTAGGAATATATTTTACAGACAAGACTTGGGCTTTTTTATTTTAGTTTGTCTTCATCTCAGACTTCCTTCATGGTGGAGATCACAGACATTTCTCCTCACCAGTTGCCCCCTGCTGGTTTTCTACATCCATCTTCCAGCAACAGTTTTGCCAGGAAGCCCATTTCACCTCAGTTCTGGGGGGTCTCTGGAGGAAGGGTGTTCCCAAGTCTAACTGCAGTTTGGAGTCAGTTTCTTTTGGAAAAAAGACGACATTATGCAATCCTAACACAACCCAATGCACTACATGTTACAGCTTTTCCCATTTTTCAAGCATCTTGAATACCAGAACCAAAGAGTTACAAGTTTCACTCTTCCCTCTCTATCCGCATCTTCTGCTGCCAGGCTATTTTGTATGACCTCACGCAAAGTGCTCCCCCTCACTGGGTTACAACTGCAGATTCCTACATATCCCAGAGCACAAAAGCTATGCACTAGAATTAATGTGTACTTTCTCCATAGCACTAAGAAAACTGGATTGTTCTCTGAGCAGCACAATCCATGATGTATTGTTTCCTACGGCTTTGTGCCTGGGCTGTGATTTCCCTAGTGTGTAATAAGGCTGAGGTCATCAGATGGCATTTTGCTCTCTTGGGGGGGTTGCTCTCTTGGCATCTCTTCTCTATCCAGTTGCCTTGTTTTCATCTTTTTTTGGCCAGTACAACTTCACTCTACCAACACAGGACAGGATTTCCTCTGTTTTTCTCACGCAATACTGTAACTTCACTCCATGTCCCCCATATTTGCGTGCTGCTCCCAGCTCCTTCCCATTCCACCACACTCCAACAGAAAAGCTGCAGCTCCCTACATGCTCTCTGCCACTGCAGCATGCCCCAGATATTCTGTCCCCTCCAAATCACCAAACCCATTAATCCTCAGATGCACTTTCTGGTTTGCATGCTAGCCCTTGTTTTCCTCTCTTCCCCTCAAACTCAGTCCATATTATTTCACCTCCGCTCACCAGAAACTCCTACACACTGTCATGCCTTTGTCAGTACCTTCAAATAACTTTACACTTCTATGTCTGCACACCCCCACACTGCCAGATTCTGCATAAACCTCTTGTCCACCACATCTCCTGCTTACTTTTCTTTGGCTTTCCAGCAAGGAGCAGGTATGCTCTGACTGCCTGGGAGATGTATTCCTGGGCTGGGCTAACTGGCAGGCACTTGGTTGTTGGTCAAAGGACACACATGCCAGTCAGGAACTGAGTGCAGGCTGACAGCCAGCCAAACACCACAGCATAGCTGTAAACAAATGGGTTTGTGGGAGGCATCTGCTTCCCTTGCAGACCAATATTGTGTAGGCCTGTGATCACAACAGATATGTTCGGCTGAAAATAGCTAATGGGTCAAAAAGTTAGGAGAGGACTGACATTAACAGAAAATGAGACTGCACGAGCCTTATGTTGTTGAGAAACCAGGCCAGGAAAAAACCCAACTTGTATTTTGTCCCACATAACCACCATCAACATCTTTTCAGCTCAAAGGAGATAATTATCCTCTTACACAAGAGATTCAACTTTTCACTGGGTGATTATTGTACTCTGTTTCATAAACAGCTTAACAATTTTTTATTCTCATGTTCAAGAAGAGAAATAGAGATGTATTTATCTATCTGCATTTTCAAAAAAAATTAAAAATAAAACTGGCTATTCACTCATCCAGTGTTAGTGGTTAATTCTCTGAGCAGCTCTACCCTCTTGTGGTCACAGCTAGCTGCAGTCAAGTGAAAAACTTGAAAATATAACCACAAATACGTCCACATGTAGGCACAATACATGAAACAGACCCAAAGCAGAGGGGCACAAAGGCTTAATCTATGCCAGAAATTTATAATCCTGTGAGAATCAACTCGAGATTTTGAAGATTCAATCTTTCTTTCACAGCAATTCAAAAGCAGGATTTTCAGATGAGCAAGAAATTTCATATTATTCATGATGAGCATTAGTCCACATTATTTTTTAACGTTTTGCCTAAATTGCAACAAAGCCAAATAATTTGCAAAATATGTCATGCAAACTAGCTATTTAGAAAAATATTTTCATTTTGAGAACATCAACAGATCATTTTCTGGAACAGCTCTGAGTTCTGGGGCCTTCAACATCTGCCTGAGATTGAGGTGTTTGTCAGCTGGAAAGCCCAAGCATGCCAGGCTGCTTCTCCTAGGTCAGCCCTTCCCAGAGCTGTACCTGCTGGCAGTCTGTCCTGGGACTTCAGAACCTCAGTCCTGGCCCCATCACAGGGGTCTGGGAACCCCTCGAAACTAGCTAAGATCAGGGTCTCTTGGGCCTCCCAACTCTGTAGTTAGATATTGAAACCAGGTTAACAGTGGATCTCCCAGGGCTCATCTCATACTTCCTTACCACGTGCTTCCTTGGCTGCTTCAGCCAAGATGTTCGGTGCAACAGGAGGTGGAATGTAATGAATCCCTGTCAGAAAACTTGGTGGGATGAACTGAGGCACAGTGCAGTATCCTTGATGGAAATCTCCACCTCCATCTGGAACCTGTGGAAATACATGAAGCAAATCATCTTCCATCTAAAGACTCTCTCCAGGATACATCTGCAGCATCAAACAATTTCTGTTTCAACTCTTACTACATCTTCTGTCCACATGCTGCCACATCCATGAATGCACTGGCATATGCAAAGCCTGTGCATAGTGTAACATACTGAAACTGAGAAGCAGGAGCTGCTCAGACCACGTCTCAACTGAAACAGACCTACGTCCTCATCACCTATTGTGGCATCTCATTACAGCAGTTGGTTTACATGAGGAGCAGCCACCCTCTTTCTCCATAATCCCTAGAATGTGACAGGGAATTTCTATGCAAGCATAAATCTACTATTTATATTCTTGAGGCAGATGAATTGTACTCAAAACAGGCAGAATGGCTTATGGCAGCTGTGAATCTGATAATATGCCCAAGTGTGGTACAAAAACTGGACACCACCATTTTAAACCCACATGACTGACAGCACTGAAGAGAACTGCAAGTGCCTGCACACACCATTACACCTGACAGGCAATTTACCACCTTGTTTCTTACCACATTTGTGTGGTTTGATGGTGTGGGCCCTGTGACACCAAACATCATTTTTCATCTGAAACTTCTGTTAACCACAACAATTTTCCAGTGTTTTTAAGACACCAAATGTCTCAAAGCATAAATAACCAGCCATGTTGATTTGCTTCCTGGTGGAAGCTGATTTCCCCTGTTCTTCTCTGCAGCTGTGGTACACCCTCCTCATCAAATTTGTCCTGCATGGCAGAGGAACCTCCCAATGTGCATCTGTGCCATTTAAGCTGCCACATCACACAATGTGTAAGTGTCCAGCTGCCAACATTCCACAAGGCTGTTACAGATGTTTGCAGGATGTATAAGCCCCAAAACACTTGGAAGTGCATGAATTTGCTCTCCTGGTTTCAGGTCGCACTATTAGCATCACAGCTAAGGCAGCTAAAAGTAAGACAGCACTATTAGCAGAGGTAATTAAAAGACTGCCACTTACTGGGACAGGAGCTGCATTCCCTGGCCCATAGTTGCTAGGAAAGTGTCCAAAACCTCTCTGAAGTGATACCCCTGGAGGCGATGGTGCTTGCCTACAGCCTGACTCATTGCTGGCAAATCCTATGGGATATGGGCGGTAAGGATACACCCCAGAACACCCAGGGTACACTTGCGGGGCTTCTCTCTCCAGGTATTCCGGGCTGACAACGTATTCTGGAGCACAAGCAGAGTGAGCTGGGAAACAATGAGAAAAGAACAAATAAAAAAGTGACTGCAGAAACAAATTCCTCTCAGGCAGAAGAATCTGGTCCTTTGGTTTCATGCTTAGTTTCTCAGGAATTCATTTTGAGATTTTTTTGGGGAACAGAGGGAAGGTACAGTAATAATGCAGTTATTTTGTGCTCTTTTCTGCCTTGTGCACTGTGAAGCTTGTCCTCAGTAAAGCACTGGCTGCTAAATCTTATTCTTTCAGAGTATCAGCAAAATAACCTACTTTATGACTTTTAACTCTAGCAGTACTTAAAATTGTACAGAAATAACAAAGTTTTAGAGTTCTAATAATAGAATCCTGTAACTTCTTCAGTTAATTTACAGACAGGCTTAGTTTTAAGACACACACAGGCAATTTCAGGTGCAGGAATCTGTTACTTCAGATTTTATCTTGCATCTTGAATCTTATATAGCCTCTCTGAAGACTTAAAGGAAAATGGTTATTTGAATACAAGTAGCATCTTTCTTGTCTGCCCATCCTCCTGCTGGCAGAGAACGTGAAGAATCTGCTCCCAGAGTAGGCTGACTTCTGGGGTACTACAATTACACTATTTGTGCCTAACCTTTTTTGAAGTTGGTCAGCAGGTTAAAAATGTTATTAAGGGAAGGACTGACAGGCATCTGTACAGCCAGTGTCATCCATAAGTATCATTTTCTTAGGAAACAAAGCTGCAAAAGGGAAGTTATTGACAGTAATCTGTGGGGTCTAGGGATGTCCAAGACAAGTCTTTCCTCTGGGCTTTTCAGAACAGCATTCTGTCTTGCAGGCTGCCAACTCTCCAGAGGCTCAGACTAATGACTACTGCAGTCAGTAAGGATTTCCATAAAATTATTACAGTAAACAGTAATAGCATGAAGTTACTGCAATAAACAGTAATTCACTAGACAAGTCACATGAAAGATTCTATTAAAGGAAGCAATTTAAGAGCTGACAGACCATAGAACTGTTTCACCTGCAAAATCTACACCCTACTCTTAAATACCAAATGTACTTTTGCACCAAGTCATCCCAGCCAAGTTTGGTTTTTACCTACAGGAATGTAAGGCCAAAAGGCCTCTCTCTTTTACAGTGCTATCATAAAATGCTTCCTTCAGGCAGCTGCAGCACTACCTTCCATGTTTACCCATCACTGCTGAGTTTTTCAGCATTATTGCTGCTGAAGGCTTGTCCCTGTGTATTTATAAACAGTGAGGCAGCACACAAGAGAAACATGCACAGTGGATCACAATTTGGTTGCCCTCCTAGAACAATTACCCTCTCAGAACAAAGCCACACGCTGAAGCTTCAGCCTTGCAAGGAGTGGTGAGGCTGTGCACGTTGCTCCTGCTGCTGCAAGCACAAGCTCTGTCAGAGCCATGTGCCAAGAGCTGCAAAGGGGGACGTGAATGGAGGCTGCATCTGTAACATCCCAGCTGAGTGCCTGAGCACACTGAGTAAGGAAAATGGGATAGACACCAGGATAGATTGCTCTAGATTATATATATATATGGGATAGACATACATATATATATATGGGATAGACAGCTCTCCTGGGAGCTGGAGCCTGAGGAACCAGAAGGTGTGAACTGCACTAGTGGCAGTGTTTGGTAGAGCAAAGAGGATGAGCACATTAAGATGTTGGGCAGGGGACAGGATTTGGGGACAGATCCTTACCATAGTCCCAAGAAGTGAAAGAGGAGGATGAGCAGAAAAACACTGGACAGGACTATCTAGGGCCAGGTCCGTATCATAGTCCCAGAAGGGGGAAGAGGAGGATGAGCACATTAAGATGTAGGACAGGAGAGAGGATTTGGGGACAGGTCCTTACTGTAGTCCCAGAAGGGGTAAGCAGAGGATGAACACAGATGTTGGACAAAGGAAGAGGATTTGGGGCCAGGTCCTTACCATAGTCCCAGAAAGTGAAAGAGGAGGATGAGCACATTAAGATGTTGGAGAGAGGAGGAGGAGGATCTGGGAACAGGTCCTTACTACAGTCCCAAAAGGTGAAAGCACAGGATGAACACAGAAAGATGCTGGAGATGAGGATTTGGTGACAGGTCCTTACTGTAATCCCAGAAAGTGAAGGAGGAAGGTGAGCAGAGACAGACGTTGGAGGGAGGAGAAGGATATGGGGACAGGTCCTTACCACAGTCCCAGAAGGGGAAAGAGGAGGATAAGCACATTAAGAAGTTGGAGAGAGGAGGAGGATCTGGGGCCAGGTCCTTACCGCAGTCCCAGAAAGTGAAAGCACAGGGAGAGCCCCGAGAGCCGCTGGAGTCGCCGGCCCTTACCGTAGTCCCAGCAGGGAGGCGCGCTGGGGGCGGGCGGGGGCCCCTGGCACACCGTGCCCATGGCGCCGCCGGGCTGG